ATAAGGAAAGAAATATAAAAGGTCATAAAAAAGAAGTTTGGCCTGAGAACGTCAAACCCTTTGGAGGTTTTACTACATAGACCTAGTACTTTCACCCAGACTTAAAATTTTTCACCCCCCAGAATGGCTGTTGCACTGTGTAATTAATTTTTTTTAGTTTTTGGATTAGATACAGCTGATATGACATCAACAACAACCCGATCTTTAGATTTAGAATCGATGCTTGATGGCCAATCAGATTCTGATGGCGACTTAAGCACAACTGATGCTCGAGCAATTAGGAAACAATTAGAAGGATTAGAAAGCATGTATTCAGAAGTAAGTTTTGTATAAAATAAAAATTTTTTTTTATTAATTTTTGATTTTTAAGGTGTTAAAACTTCTCGGGGTTAAAAAGCATTCGGGAAGATATCAACCATCTGATCCAAAGTTTTGTAAAAGACGTTATGGAAGCATGTCATCTTTACCATCTAGTTCTGTGAGTAGTAGACCAATTCGTGATAAACGACGCGCTACGGAAGAACGAAAAAAAGTTAGAGATATGCGCGGCATTAACAAACGATTCCAAAGACTTGAATCTCACGTGGTTACTTTGGCGAGATCCGTAGCTCATTTATCATCAGAAATGAGAACGCAACACCTTATGATACAAGAAATGGAAAATATACGTGGTGAAATCGCTGCTTTGAGAACGCAAACGAATATGTTGAACGTTAGATCTCAATCAAATACACGACCAGTGAGTAGTTCCAAAGATTTACCCAGTTTAGCTAATCCGACTAGGGTGAAGAAATTGACGAAGTTTTTTGGAGATGAGCCGCCATTGTTAAGGTTGTTTTTAAGGAAATTAGGTTACGAGGTAAGGAATTATTAATTTATTTAATTATCTTAATAAAATTATTTTGATGTATTTAGAAATATGCTAACGTTTTCGAAAATGAAAGAATTGGAATGGTTGAATTACCTTATTTAACTGAAGAACGTTTGCAAAAAATGGGAGTACCTCTTGGTCCAAGATTAAGGATAATGCAGGAAGCGCAAATTTCCGTTTGCAAAGATAACACACTTTGTATAGTATAAACGTTTTTGTAGCATATGTAAATACCTAAATGGCGGCTCGAAATAATCTTTAATTCAAATTTAAGTTTATTTTATTATTTATATAAAAAAAAATTTGAAATGATTTAATTTTAAGTTAGAATTTGTAAATGTCGATTTGCATGTATTAAATAATAATAAGGTTTTTATTTATTTTCTTTTTATTGCCAACAGTACCAAAGATTTGTATGGAATAATTAAAACTTGGGCTGATTGTTTTTTTATTATATCAAATGCAATAAATTTACTTATTAAATTAAAAATTTTGTGTCATCTTCCCTCGTCGTAATCCACATCCGCAAAGAGATAAAATACTCGACCAAAGAATTAAATAAATTGATTTTGAAGTTTTTGAAAATGTTTCAACGATACCAAAATGTAGAAAAAGTTTATGTGTGTATGTCAAAATGGTTCTAATCGATTAAAAACATCTCTATGATACTTAACGCTGATGGAAGGATTAAAAAAAATGATTTTTATTTATTTAGACGTGTTTCAATAACTCCAGAATGTAGAAAAAGTTTATTGGTGTGTGTCAAAATGATACTAATCGATTAAAACACATCTCTAGGATATTTAATGTCGACAAAAATGATAAAAGAATTGATTTAGACGTTTTTTGAAAATGTTTCAACGATACCAAAATGTAGAAAAAGTTTATGTGTGTATGTCAAAATGGTTCTAATCGATTAAAAACATCTCTATGATACTTAACGCTGATGGAAGAATTAAAAAAAAATGATTTTTATTTATTTAGACGTGTTTCAATAACTCCAGAATGTNTCAACACCTTATGATACAAGAAATGGAAAATATACGCGGTGAAATCGCTGCTTTGAGAACGCAAACGAATATGTTGAACGTTAGATCTCAATCAAATACACGACCAGTGAGTAGTTCCAAAGATTTACCCAGTTTAGCTAATCCGACTAGGGTGAAGAAATTGACGAAGTTTTTTGGAGATGAGCCGCCATTGTTAAGGTTGTTTTTAAGGAAATTAGGTTACGAGGTAAGGAATTATTAATTTATTTAATTATTTTAATGAAATTATTTTGATGTATTTAGAAATATGCTAACGTTTTCGAAAATGAACGAATTGGAATGGTTGAATTACCTTATTTAACTGAAGAACGTTTGCAAAAAATGGGAGTACCTCTTGGTCCAAGATTAAGGATAATGCAGGAAGCGCAAATTTCCGTTTGCAAAGATAACACACTTTGTATAGTATAAACGTTTTTGTAGCATATGTAAATACCTAAATGGCGGCTCGAAATAATCTTTAATTCAAATTTAAGTTTATTTTATTATTTATATAAAAAAAATTTGAAATGATTTAATTTTAAGTTAGAATTTGTAAATGTCGATTTGCATGTATTAAATAATAATAAGGTTTTTATTTATTTTCTTTTTATTGCCAACAGTACCAAAGATTTGTATGGAATAATTAAAACTTGGGCTGATTGTTTTTTTATTATATCAAATGCAATAAATTTACTTATTAAATTAAAAATTTTGTGTCATCTTCCCTCGTCGTAATCCACATCCGCAAAGAGATAAAATACTCGACCAAAGAATTAAATAAATTGATTTTGAAGTTTTTGAAAATGTTTCAACGATACCAAAATGTAGAAAAAGTTTATGTGTGTACGTCAAAATGGTTCTAATCGATTAAAAACATCTCTATGATACTTAACGCTGATGGAAGAATTAAAAAAAAATGATTTTTATTTATTTAGACGTGTTTCAATAACTCCAGAATGTAGAAAAAGTTTATTGGTGTGTGTCAAAATGATACTAATCGATTAAAACACATCTCTAGGATATTTAATGTCGACGAAAATGATAAAAGAGTTGATTTAGACATTTTTTGAAAGTGTTTCAAAGATATCATGATACAGAAAAGGCAACAATTTATCGCTTAATAACAATTAAAACTAGAACTACGAAGACGCACGGCTAAACCCGAATATTTCTAGTTCTATGTCTAGTGTTAGTTCTAGTTTTACAATAACACTATTACTAGAACTAACACAAGAATAGCCTAAACTAACCTAGAACTAGAATCATTCGGGTTTAGCCGTCTTGAAAGACTTGCGACTAAAGCCAAATGATTCTAGTTCTAGATATAGTGTAAATTGTACTTTTATTTCAGTAAGAATAGACAACAATTTAGCGCTTAATAACAATTAAAACTAGAACTAGCACTAGACCAAGAACTAGAATCATTCGGGCTTAGCCGTCTTAAAAGACTTGCGGCTAAATCGAAATGTTTCTAGTTCTAGATCTAGTGTTAGTTCTAGTTTTACACTATTACTATCACCAGAACTAACACTAGAACTAGAATCATTCGGGTTTAGCCGTCTTGAAAGACGTGCGGCTAAATCCGAATGCTTCTAGTTCTAGGTCTAGTGTTAGTTCTTGTTTTACACTATTACTATCACCAGAACTAACACTAGAACTAGAATCATTCGGGTTTAGCCGTCTTGAAAGACGTGCGGCTAAATCCGAATGCTTCTAGTTCTAGGTCTAGTGTTAGTTCTTGTTTTACACTATTACTATCACCAGAACTAACACTAGAACTAGAATCATTCGGGTTTAGCCGTCTTGAAAGACGTGCGGCTAAATCCGAATGCTTCTAGTTCTCGGTCTTGTGCTAGTTCTAGTTTTGCACTAACACTATCATAAGACCTAGAACTAGAATTACTTTTTTGAAGATATTTCAAAAATATCATGATACAGAAAAGGCTTATTGATGCATCTCAAAATGGTTCTAATGTATTAAAAACATCTCTATGATACTTAACGCTGATGGAAAAATTTAAAAAAAAATGATTTTTATTTATTTAGACGTGTTTCAATAACTCCAGAATGTAGAAAAAGTTTATTGGTGTGTGTCAAAATGATACTAATCGATTAAAACACATCTCTAAGATATTTAATGTCGACGAAAATGATAAAAGAGTTGATTTAGACATTTTTTGAAAGTGTTTCAAAGATATCATGATACAGAAAAGGCAACAATTTAGCGCTTAATAACAATTAAAACTAGAACTACGAAGACGCACGGCTAAACCCGAATATTTCTAGTTCTATGTCTAGTGTTAGTTCTAGTGTTACAGTAACACTATTACTAGAACTACCACAAGACCTAGACTTAGAATCATTCGGGTTTAGCCGTGTTGAAAGACTTGCGACTAAACCCAAATGATTCTAGTTCGAGATATAGTGTAAGTTGTATTTTTATTTCAGTAAGAATAGACAACAATTTAGCGCTTAATAACAATTAAAACTAGAACTAGTACTAGACCAAGAACTAGAATCATTCGGGCTTAGCCGTCTTAAAAGACTTGCGGCTAAACCCAAATGTTTCTAGTTCTAGATCTAGTGTTAGTACTAGTTTTACACTACCATTATCACTAGAACTAACACAAGACCTAGAACTAGAATCATTCGGGTTTAGCCGTCTTGAAAGACGTGCGGCTAAATCCGAATGCTTCTAGTTCTAGGTCTAGTGTTAGTTCTAGTTTTACACTATCACTAGTGGTATTACTAGAACTAACACAAGACCTAGAACTAGAATCATTCGGGTTTAGCCGTCTTGAAGGACGTGTGGCTAAATCCGAATATTTCTAGTTCTCGGTCTAGTGTTAGTTCTAGTTTTGCACTAGCACTATTACTAGAACTAACGCAAGACCTAGAACTAGAATTACTTTTTTGGAAGTACTCAAAGATCATGAAAGATATCATGATACAGAAAAGGTTTATTGGTATATGTCAAAATGGTTCTAATGGATTGAAAATATCACGTTTAAAAAATTTTGGTTACTTTGAACGAATAAATTTACTTATTAAATTAAATATTCTGTTTTATCTACCTTCTTAACTACTTTAAACGTCCGTCCTCTCTGACACACCCTGTATAATATTTGATTTGTCATAAAAAATATGTAACGATTTGTATTCCAGTGTGTGCTTGTAATATTTGATTTGTCATAAAAAATATGTAACGATTTGTATTCCAGTGTGTGCTTGTAATGCAGTTTGCTTCTTCAAGCTCTCAACACGAACTTGTAAAATTGAGTTGAAATCATGGAACGCTTTNAAATATGTAACGATTTGTATTCCAGTGTGTGCTTGTAATATTTGATTTGTCATAAAAAATATGTAACGATTTGTATTCCAGTGTGTGCTTGTAATGCAGTTTGCTTCTTCAAGCTCTCAACACGAACTTGTAAAATTGAGTTGAAATCATGGAACGCTTTGAAAGATGGACTACAGTAAATAGCTGTTGTTGTTTCGATCTTCGCTCCGGAACTCTTGTAATAGCTAACTTAAGACTGGTAAGTTGAATAAAATAAATTTAAATAAAATTTCAATTTTTCTCCTTTTAGTTTTTCAGTTTTATATCATTACTTATCAGTATTCTATACCTAACTCATCACATTAACATATCTTTGAATTTTGAATTTGCTGTGTACCTTATTCGATTTACCGCATTGATTATAATAATAACCATAATTCTTGTAGTAGGAGTTATCCAGGTAAAAAAAATAATTAACGGTAATCTCTTAAAATCTTTTTTTTTGACTTCTAGGATAAACCAAATTTGATACTCATACACCAAGTGATAAATGGGGCGATGATTGTATCATATTTAATAGACATTATTACCACTATACTAGATTACACTTTCCTACTTGTTATTTTATTAAGTTTGGGTAAGTTGAAAAAGAAATTTAATTAAATCAATATAACACATTTATTTATAGTGTTTCAGGCGTATTTCTGGGTAGTTATTCAAAGTTATTACAGAAGTCGTTTACTTTTGCAACCCCAAGAAATAAATCAAGTTATTGCCTAGTGTTAAATCATTCTATATTAATTAATATGTACTAATAATAACCGTGATTCATCGAGATATTTTTAAAGCTTATTGATATGTTGTTGAAATTCCACCAATTGATTGAAAACATCTTATTGTTAGAGGTCTTTAGCAAAATCAATATCATGTTTTCCAGTAATTTGAAACACTTGAACAAAACTGAAAAGCTGATTAGTGTGAATCAAAATGGTTAAAAAAAACTACTTATAATGCTTAGCGACGATGAAAGAAGTTAAAAAAATTGATTTTAATATTTTTGAAACTGTTTGAAAGACAACAAAATTCTTGCAATCGATTAAAAACATATTAACTCTGATGGAAGAATTAAGCGAAATGATTATTATTTATTTAGACGTGTTTCAATGACTCCAGAATGTAGAAAACTTTATTGGTGTGTGTCAAAACGATACTAATCGATTAAAACACATCTCTAGGATATTTAATGTCGACAAAAGTGATAAAAGAATTGATTTAGACGTATTTTGAAAATGTTTCAAAGATACCATGATACAGAAAAAGCAACAATTTAGTGATTAATAACAATTAAAACTAAAACTAACACTAGTTTTAGGTTTACACTAGTACTATTACTGGAACCAACACAAGACCTAGAACTAGAATCATTCGGGTTTAGCCGTCTTGAAAGACGTGTGGCTAAATCCGAATGCTTCTAGTTCTCGGTCTAGTGCTAGTTCTAGTTTTGCACTAGCACTATTACTAGAACTAACACAAAACCTAGAATTAGAATCATTCGGGTTTAGCCGTCTTGAAAGACTTGCGGCTAAATCCGAATGTTTCTAGTTCTCGGTCTAGTGTTAATTCTAGTTTTGTACTAGCACTATTACTAGAACTAACACAAAACCTAGAACTAGAATCATTCGGGGTTAGCCGTCTTGAAAGACGTGTGGCTAAATCCGAATGTTTCTAGTTCTAGGTCTAGTGTTAGTTCTAGTTTTGCACTAGCACTATTACTAGAACTAACACAAAACCTAGAACTAGAATCATTCGGGTTTAGCCGTCTTGAAAGACGTGCGGCTAAATCCGAATGTTTCTAGTTCTAGGTCTAGTGTTAGTTCTAGTTTTGCACTAGCACTATTACTAGAACTAACACAAAACCTAGAACTAGAATCATTCGGGTTTAGCCGTCTTGAAAGAGGTGTGGCTAAATCCGAATGTTTCTAGTTGTCGGTCTAGTGTTAGTTCTAGTTTTACACTAGTGCTATTACTAGAATTAACACAAAACCTAGTATTAGAATCATTCGGGTTTAGCCGTCTTGAAAGACGTGTGGATAAATACGAATGTTTCTAGTTCTAGGTCTAGTGTTAGTTCTAGTTTTGCACTAGCACTATTACTAGAACTAACACAAAACCTAGAATTAGAATCATTCGGATTTAGCCGTCTTGAAAGAGTTGCGGCTAAATCCGAATGTTTCTAGTTCTCGGTCTAGTGTTAGTTCTAGTTTTGCACTAACACTATCACTAGAACTAACACAAAACCTAGAATTAGAATCATTCGGGTTTAGCCGTCTTGAAAGACGTGTGGCTAAATCCGAATGTTTCTAGTTCTAGGTCTAGTGTTAGTTCTAGTTTTGCACTAGCACTATTACTAGAACTAACACAAAACCTAGAACTAGAAGTATTCGGGTTTAGCCGTCTTGAAAGACGTGTGGCTAAATCCGAATGTTTCTAATTCTCGGTCTAGTGTTAGTTCTAGTTTTACACTGGTACTATTACTAGAACTAATACAAAACCTAGAATTAGAATCATTCGGGTTTAGCCGTCTTGAAAGACGTGTGGCTAAATCCGAATGTTTCTAGTTGTAGGTCTAGTGGTAGTTCTAGTTTTGCACTAGCACTATTACTAGAACTAACACAAAACCTAGAACTAGAAGTATTCGGGTTTAGCCGTCTTGAAAGACGTGTGGCTAAATCCGAATGTTTCTAATTCTCGGTCTAGTGTTAGTTCTAGTTTTACACTGGTACTGTTACTAGAACTAATACAAAACCTAGAATTAGAATCATTCGGGTTTAGCCGTCTTGAAAGACGTGTGGCTAAATCCGAATGTTTCTAGTTCTAGGTCTAGTGTTAGTTCTAGTTTTGCACTAGCACTATTACTAGAACTAACACAAGACCTAAAACTAGAATCATTCGGGTTTGGCCGTCTTGAAAGACTTGCGGCTAAATCCGAATGTTTCTAGTTGTCGGTCTAGTGTTAGTTCTAGTTTTACACTAGTACTATTACCAGAACTAATACAAAACCTAGAATTAGAATCATTCGGGTTTAGCCATCTTGAAAGACGTGTGGCTAAATCCGAATATTTCTAGTTCTCGGTCTAGTGGTAGTTCTAGTTTTACACTATCACTATCACTATAACTAACACAAGACCTAGAATTAGAATCATTTGGGTTTAGCCGTCTTTAGAGACGTGCTCCTAAACCCAAATGATTCTAGTTCTAGGTATATTGTTAGTTATACTTTTATTTTAGTAAGAATAGACAACAATTTAGCGCTTAATAACAATTAAAACTAGAACTAGCATTAGACCTAGAACTAGAAACATTTGGGCTTAGCCGTCTTAAAAGACTTGCGGCTAAACCCAAATGTTTCTAATTCTAGGTCTAGTGTTAGTTCTAGTATTGCACTATCACTAGAATTAACAGAAGACCTAGAACTAGAATTGCTTTTTTGAAAGTGTTTCAAAGATACCATGATACAGAAAAGGCTTATTGGTGTATGTCAAAATGGTTCTAATCGATTAAAAACATCTGTATGATACTTAACGCTTATGAAAGAATTAAAGGAAATGATTNATCACTAGAACTAATACAAAACCTAGAATTAGAATCATTCGGGTTTAGCCGTCTTGAAAGACGTGTGGCTAAATCCGAATGTTTCTAGTTCTCGGTCTAGTGTGAGTTCTAGTTTTACACTAGTACTATTACTAGAACTAACACAAGACCTAGAACTAGAAGCATTCGGGTTTAGCCGTCTTGAAAGACTTGCGGCTAAATCCGAATGTTTCTAGTTGTCGGTCTAATGTTAGTTATACTTTTATTTTAGTAAGAATAGACAACAATTTAGCGCTTAATAACAATTAAAACTAGAACTAGCATTAAACCTAGAACTAGAAACATTCGAGCTTAGCCGTCTTAAAAGACTTGCGGCTAAACCCAAATGTTTCTAGTTCTAGGTCTAGTGTTAGTTCTAGTATTGCACTATCACTAGAACTAGCAGAAGACCTAGAACTAGAATTGCTTTTTTGAAAGTGTTTCAAAGATACCATGATACAGAAAAGGCTTATTGGTGTATGTCAAAATGGTTCTAATCGATTAAAAACATCTGTATGATACTTAACGCTTATGAAAGNAAGTTTTGTTGGCTGAAATTAATTAACCCTTCCGCGTGGAAGTTAAAAATTTCAATTACTATGTGAGTTGCGGGAATGCGATCTACTCTATGCTATCTACTCTAATGCGATCTTATGACGTACACGTGTACGGCACTCCACGCGGAAGGGTTAATTCAAGCTTATGCCCAGGTACTTAGGAATCACAACTCCTATGCAGAATGTTAGTAAAAACACCAACAGGACGTTGGTGTCCTGCCTTACTAACCCATATACAGTGAATTTCACTTAATTTGCAATATACAAAAAAATATTTCCATAAAAACCAGAGTGTACCTACTTACATTGTCCCACATAAAATGCAATATGTCAATATATGTAATTTGACATTACAGTACAACCTCAATATATCTGTTCGATAGCCGTCTTGAAAGACTTGCGGCTAAATCCGAATGTTTCTAGTTCTCGGTCTATTGTTAGTCTTACACTAGCACTATCACTAGAACTAACACAAGACCTAGAACTAGAATCATTCGGGTTTAGCCGTCTTTAGAGACGTGCGGCTAAACCTGAATGTTTCTAGTTCTCGGTCTAGTGTTAGTCTTACACTAGCACTATCACTAGAACTAACACAAGACCTAGTACTAGAATCATTCGGGTTTAGCCGTCTTTAGAGACGTGCGGCTAAATCCGAATGTTTCTAGTTCTAGGTCTAGTGTTAGTTCTAATTTTACACTAGCACTATCACTAGAACTAGCAGAAGACCTAGACCTAAATGGGGGGCGGAAAGGAGAACGATAACAATGTACTTGTGTTTAAATCGATACGTGTCCTCAACCTAATTTTGTATATTGAAATTGACAATGTTAAAAAATAACTTTTAAATCAATAATTTAATAAAAATAAAATTGATATTATCACAATTTATATCAAAAACACCAAAAATATATAATAAAAACATATTTGTGTCCATTTTTACTCAGTCTTCTATCAATGCAGAACTATATTTAGTTCCATCTCGATGTGATTTGAATGCGAAGTGCTGGTTGAACTATGAGAACATTTCACTTGGTTTCAAAATCGTCGAGTGTCATGTAGTAACTTGTGGAAAATCTAATATTTGCTGGAATTCTGCCAAAGTAATAAGAAATAACAATAAAAACTCAATAATAAACTCATCTGCCCAAGCTAAAGCAACAAAAAAGATTTATACATCTACAAATAAGACTGCAAAATATGAAGAGCTCCAAAGTTAGTGTGTTTACTAGATTTCATGGCTTCCAGATAAAGATTGAGTAAGGTGATGAAAGTTACGCAATACTTGATAGATATGTTGGGTAAGGTTAGTTTTGTTTAACCCTTTAGCAGAAATGTTGGTCTAGGTCAGTTTTGTTTAGAATCAATAAGCAACATCATTGACATTTGCATTTTTGCACAATCTTCTTCTATCAAAAAAGAACTATATTTAGTTCCATCTCGTTGTGTATTGGCTGCAACGTACTGGTTGAACTATGAAAAAATTGCACTTGATTTCAAAATCGCCGAGTATCAAACAGCTGTGGTAATCTGTGGAAAATCTGATATTTGCTTCCAAGATGAAGACCAAGTAATAAGAGTAGGATTAAAAAGGATTACTAAGTGTNGTTCTAATAGGTTAAAAGTGTGCACAAACTTAATTTTTATTTAGACTAACAGTTATATGAAAATAAATGATTGATGTTTCTTGATAACCGTTAATTTTATTATATAATAAAAGCTAATACATTACATTACATTTTATTGTCGAATTTTGAAGTGTAATTGACAAATATGTACACATAAAAATATCTTTAAAGTGTTATTAATTATGAATTATTTTATTGTCATGTATTGGAAGTATTTTTATGTACTATTATTTTATTATTAAAATTTAATTAATTTATTTGTAATAATTTTGGCAAATTTATCACTAATATATGGATAATTTAATTAAACAACTTCAGGATATTTCGTTTCCATCACTCCCGGGTTATTGTACGCAACCATCGATGGATTTGTAATTGTTATAGGTTCCGCTACAAGCGATTGGTAATAACTAAACACAGTTAGCCAAAGATAAATTGCAGGAACTACAAAAAAGGAATGATGAATAAAAAAGTTTTCGTTGATAAATTTAAATCTTACCTGCAAATATGAAAGCTATAAGTACCAAAGGTTCCAAAATAGATAAAATTAATCCAAGATAACAAATTACAATTAAAAGAGCTCCCAAAAGTATTAAATATGGTATTAAAAGGACGCTTGATTCCTAATAAAAAGAAAAAATTTTTTTATGGATTAAAAATTGCGTAATATTTACCTTTATAGCTCCTAATAGAACCATACCATTAATAATTACCCCTGAAAATGTAGCGGGAATAGCAATTTTATAATGTTCAGGGGGTTGATCACCAGTCACAGCGCTTATGCAAGCAAACAAGAAGTAACAAATCGAACAAAACTTAAATAAAAACAAACCCCAATTACAAGAAACCGTTCTACAGGTGTTTATTTTTTTCAATAACTTACAGTTTGAAAACCACCAATCACCATCGTTCCACATTTTAAATCATATTTGCAGCAAAAATTTTGCAATTTCAACATGTTTGCCAAAGCCATCTCCGCGTACAACGTATTGAAGTGCTACGAGAAGGGACACAAAAGGAATAAGCGGGAATACGGGGGGTTGGTTTTACTCCCCTCTGGCGCTGCCGCCAGAGTGGGGGACATTTTGGGTGCCACAGTGTCTAGAATCTCTGGCGCTACCGAAATGGACCGAGCTGTAAAAATCAATTTGCTTTCCCCCCGAGGGGTAGCAACGGAAGGAACTGAAGGATGAACGATTGAATTCCGGTCGTCTCTCGATTCCGAAGCATATTAAACAGGTTCAATTTGTTTGCCACGATGCGAATATAAAATTGCCGAGTGACGGAAAATGCGTGCGAAAACCTCGCAGGATATAAATGGGGGTGGAAGGGAGAACGATAACAATGTATCCGTGTTTAAATCGATACGTGTCCTCAACCTAATTTTGGATATTGAAATTGACAATGTTAGAAAATAACTTTTAAATCAATTAAAATAAAATTAAAACAAAAACACCAAAAATATACATATCAATGCAGAACTATATTTAGTTCCATCTCGATGTACTTTGAAAACGACGTGTTACAACATTTCATTTGGGCAAAATCGCCGAGTGTCAAACAGCTGTGGTAACCTGTGGAAAATCTGATATTTGCTGGAATTCTGCCAAGCTGGAGACTAAGTAATAAAAGTAGGATTCAAATACTAAACTCAATAATCAACTCATCTGCCCAAGCTAAACTAACATGAAGAGCTCCAAAGTTAGTGTCTTTACTAGATTTCATGGCTTCCAGATAAAGATTGAGGAAGGTCATGAAAGTTACGCAATACTAGATAGATATGTTGGGTAAGGTTAGTTTTATTTACTCAGGTTAATGACTCCCAGCAGAAATGTTGGTCTTTTGCTTGGAATTCTTACTCAATCTTCTTCTATTAAAGAAGAACGTTATTTAGTTCCATCTCATTGTGTATTGGCTGCAATGTGCTGGTTGAACTATGAAAAAATTGCACTTGATTTCAAAATCGCCGAGTATCAAACAGCTGTGGTAATCTGTGGAAAATCTGAAATTTGCTTCCAAGCTAAAGACCAAGTAATAAGAGTAGGATTAAAAAGGATTACTAAGTAGTAAGTGACTCAAATAAAAAAAACGATACGCTGGAGATTGCTGAGCTCCGCCAAACATAAGACACAAAATCATCTGCCCAAGCTAAAGTAACAAAAAACTATTTATTTTATACACCCACAAATAAGACTGCAAAATATGAGATCAGTTTTGTTTAGAATCAATGAACGTAACGTCATTGGGAAAGGTCAGTTATCTTTACTAAGGTTAATGACCTTCATGATAAGTAAACTTGGTTAGAGTTAACAGCATTCTTTTCAAAATCAGAGAAATCGCCTAGACAGACAAGATATATTAACTACATTGTAGAATTTACTACTCAAATTAATTAATCATCAATCAAAGAGGTGCAAGATTCAGATATAGAGTTGAAACATCTTATTAATAATCAATTATCAAGTCATAACAAACGATACCATCTGTCTAAAAGTAGAATGACAAATTCTAATTCAAATCTTTGGTATGAAAACTCTTCTTCACTTAAATTATACATTCCTACTTGTTTCAGGCGAAATATTTTCAATAAATTTCATTTCCTTTCATATTCAGGTTTTAAAGCTACTTTAAATTTAATTAAGCAAAGATTTTATTGGCCACATTTAACCAAAGACATAAAACATTGGTGTGAGACATGCATACAATGCCAAAAGACCAAGGTGCATGGTTACACAAAATCACCAATAGATTATATACCCGTACCAAAAGGACGCTTCGAACACATTTACATTAATCACCTACTTCAATGGGTTATTCCTACATCCTTACAGCAATAGACAGATTTACTAGATGGCTAGAAGCCTATCCGATTCCAGATACAACATCTGAAACTATAGCTTCAACCCTATTTAATCAATATTTTTCGAAATTCGGTATGCCTCATACCATCTCCCATGGTAGAGGTCAACAATTCGAATCCCATCTCTTTCGACAATCCAATAAGTTGTTGGGATCTCAAACTCTTATCATCCCCAGAGCAACGGCATTTTGGAAAGGTTCTACAGGACCCTCAAAAATGCCATTACCGCCAAAGGATGTAGCTATAGGTGGAACAATAATCTTCCTGTAATTTTACTGGGTTTAAGATTGTTTAAAGGACAGCCATTACGCTTACGAGGAGAATTCTTCATAACCTCTCAACATACGTAGAAACAACACCCTTACTAACAAGTTTGAGAGAAACTTTTCTTAATGTTAAACCTGTTCAAACAAAATTTTATTCAGTGTCGAAACCTTTCATTCACAAAGATCAAATCTTTATCTCCCAGATTTGAAGGACCTTTCAAAGTATTAAAACGTTTTAAGAAAAATTATGTCATTAATAAAAATAACACAGAATTGATAGTCAATATTTTTGACTAACAATTCTTACTCTGCAATTAACAATTCTTCGTCAATTTTTAATAATTCTTGATCAACAATTAATAATTCTTCTTTCAATAACAAAAAGCATTTAATAAAAACATTTGCGAGTTCGTTTCTGTATTTAAACTTAAATTACATTTGTATTCATATCCTTGTTGCTACTAATTTTGAGTGGTCTTTGATTTAATAGCCAAAAAAATGAACTTTGTTATTTTTAGTTTTCTATCACTCTTGTCTAATTGTAACTACATGTAAGAGGTACATAAAAATTGTCTTTCAAAAAAATTAATAGTTTTTTTTTAATTTTAAAAAATATAAGTATCAATCTATCAAAACAAGCTATAAAAGACTTGCGGCTAAATCCGTATGTTTCTAGATCTCGGTCTAGTGTTAGTTCTAGTTTTACACTATCACTAGAACTAACACTAGATCTAGAACTAGAATCATTCGGGCTTAGCCGTCTTGGAAGACTTGCGGCTAAACCCAAATGTTTCTAGTTCTAGGTCTAGTGTTAGTTCTAGTTTTACACTAGAGGTATTACTAGAACTAACACAAGACCTAGAACTAGAATCATTCGGGTTTAGCCGTCTTTAGAGACGTGCGGCTAAATCCGAATGTTTCTAGATCTCGGTCTAGTGTTAGTTCTAGTTTTACACTAGCACTATCNTGTGGAAAATCTGATATTTGCTGGAATTCTGCCAAGCTGGAGACTAAATAATAAAAGTAGGATTCAAATACTAAACTCAATAATAAACTCATCTGCCCAAGCTAAAGTAACATGAAGAGCTCCAAAGTTAGTGTCTTTACTACATTTCATGGCTTCCAGATAAAGATTGAGTAAGGTCATGAAAGTTATGTAATACTAGATAGATATGTTGGGTAAGGTTTTGTTTACTAAGTTAATGACCCCCAGCAGAAATAAAAGTCTAGGTCAGTTTTGTTTAGAATCAATGAGCAACATCATTGACATTTGCATTTTTGCACAATCTTCTTCTATCAAAAAAGAACTATATTTAGTTCCATCTCGTTGTGTATTGGCTGCAATGTGCTAGTTGAACTATTTCAGAATCGAAGAGTATCAAACACCTGTGGTAACCTGTGGAAAGTTTGATATCTGCTAGAATGCTTCCAAGCTGAAGACCAAGTAATACGAGTAGGATTAAAAAGGGTTACTACTTACTCCGTCAAACATAAGACACAAACTCATCTGCCGAAGCTAAAGTAACAAAAAATTATTTATTTTATACAGCTACAAATAAGACTGCAAAATATGAGGTCAGTTTTGTTTAGAATCAATGAACGTAACGTCATTGGGAAAGGTCAGCTATCTTTACTAAGGTTAATGACCTTCATGATAAGTAAACTTGGTTAGAGTTATGGTGGTTGCCTAATATTATGAACATTGAAAAGGTAAGTTTTGTTGGCTGAAATTAATTAACCCTTCCGCGTGGAAGTTAAAAATTTCAATTACTATGTGAGTTGCGGGAATGCGATCTACTCTATGCTATCTACTCTAATGCGATCTTATGACGTACACGTGTACGGCACTCCACGCGGAAGGGTTAATTCAAGCTTATGCCCAGGTACTTAGGAATCACAACTCCTATGCAGAATGTTAGTAAAAACACCAACAGGACGTTGGTGTCCTGCCTTACTAACCCATATACAGTGAATTTCACTTAATTTGCAATATACAAAAAAATATTTCCATAAAAACCAGAGTGTACCTACTTACATTGTCCCACATAAAATGCAATATGTCAATATATATAATTTGACATTACAGTACAACCTCAATATATCTGTTCGATAGCCGTCTTGAAAGACTTGCGGCTAAATCCGAATGTTTCTAGTTCTCGGTCTAGTGTTAGTTCTAGTTTTACACTAGAGGTATTACTAGAACTAACAGAAGACTTAGAACTAGAATCAAAATTACATTACACTAGCATTACACTAGCACTATCACTAGAACTAACACAAGACCTAGAACTAGAATCATTCAGGTTTAGCCGTCTTGAAAGACGTGCGGCTAAATCCGAATGCTTCTAGTTCTAGGTCTAGTGTTAGTTCTAGTTTTACACTATCACTAGAATTAACACAAGACCAAGAACTAGAATCATTCGGGTTTAGCCGTCTTGAGAGACGTGCGGCTAAACCCGAATGTTTCTAGTTCTAGGTCTAGTGTTAGTTCTAGTTTTACACTAGCACTATCACTAGAACTAACACAATACCTAGAACTAGAATTATTCGGGTTTAGCCGTCTTTAGAGACGTGCGGCTAAATCCGAATGTTTCTAGATCTCGGTCTAGTGTTAGTTCTAGTTTTACACTAGCACTATCACTAGAACTAACACTAGACCTAGAACTAGAATCCTTCGGGCTTAGCCGTCTTGAAAGACTTGCAGCTAAACCCAAATGTTCCTAGTTCTAGGTCTAGTGTTAGTTTTAGTTTTACACTATCACTAGAACTAACACTAGACCTAGAACTAGAATCATTCGGGCTTAGCCGTCTTGAAGGACTTGCGACTAAACCCAAATGTTTCTAGTTCTAGGTCTAGTGTTAGTTCTAGCTTTACACTAGAGGTATTACTAGAACTAACACAAGACCTAGAACTAGAATCGTTCGGGTTTAGCCGTCTTTAGAGACGTACGGCTAAATCCGAATGTTTCTAGATCTCGGTCTAGTATTAGTTCACATTTTGTATTAGTTCTAGTAATACCTCTAGTGTAAAACTATAACTAACACTAGACCTAGAACTAGAATCATTCGGGTTTAGCCGTCTTTAGAGACGTGCGGCTAAATCCGAATATTTCTAGATCTCGGTCTAGTGTTAGTTCTAGTTTTACACTAGCACTATCACTGGAACTAACACTAGACCTAGAACTAGAATCATTCAGGTTTAGCCGTCTTGAAAAACGTACGGCTAAATCCGAATGTTTCTAGTTCTCGGTCTAGTGTTAGTTCTAGTTTTATACTAATACTATCACTAGAACTAACACAAGACCTAGAACTAGAATCATTTGGGTTTAGCCGTCTTTAGAGACGTGTTAGTTCTAGTTTCACACTATCACTAGAACTAACACAAGACCTAGAACTAGAATCATTCGGATTTAGCCATCTTGAAAGACGTGCGGCTAAATCCGATTGTTTCTAGTTCTAGGTATAGTGTTAGTTCTAGTTTTATTTGTTATTCAGCGTTAGATTGTGGTGTATTTTTATTGAACGAAAAGTAGAACTAATACTAGACCTAGAACCAAAAATATTCTGGTTTAGCCATACTTCTCTTAAGACAGAAACTCAGAATTATCATAAGTACGTCACCTTTTCCAAGCAATACTTTTCCTTTGCAAAGCTACTATTAAGCTATGTTGCATTTTATGTGGATCAAAAACTGTAACTGCTAAAAAATCCTAATCTTTCAACTTTTCAATGTAATATTAGTGGTACACATACAGTCTTTAATGGTTTTAGTGGTGCTTCTAAAACCATAATAAGAAAAACTATGTTTTCGGAGATGTAATATAATAAACTTATTTTTATTAAAAATTAAAATTATAATTAAAAAAATCTTCTTCTTAACCCATCCTCTCACCCATGCCTACAATAATCTAATATTTGCGATCTTGTACACGCTTTTTGGCAACATTCATTAGCAACCCCGTATCGTTTACTTCTTCTACTGTTTAAAATTCTCAACGCATGTTCTTTCGGTAAAAACTTCACGCTTCTATCAACATCAGACTCTAAATACTGTTGGTCGTTTTGATAAGTCATTGGGCCTAAAAAATGAAAATTTTTTGTAAAAATCGCGTATGTAAATAAAACAACCTCACCGTTGTAAATAGATTTACAAAGTATTCGGATGGTGTCGGCAAGGTGAGTTCCACATGCTTGTACAGAAATATTTAGTGGATCCGTGCTTGCCGATAATATGATCAAAAAAGAAATGTGTAATGATGTAAATAGAAATATGTGTGAAATGTACTGGAAATAAAAGAAATACAAAAAATGAGAATATAAAAATTATTCGGGGCAATATAATAATAATTCGTGAATATGGCAAGGTTTTAGACAACATTCATCGACGATTCCTCTTTTTTTTAATCGATTTTTAAACTTTAACCATGGATTTTGATTTAATACCTCTAAAAAGATGGATTAAATTGGATTAATTATTTATAGTAATAATTTAAAATCGTTACCGCTATTTTCATTTTCACAGATTAAAATTATTAAATCATCTAACATCGTTCCGCAAGCTATAAATGTATCGGTACAAGCAACAAAACAAATCAAAATATTTAATATGAAACATATTTTAAAGAAAACCTAAAAATTTTTTTTGATTGTTTGAGACAATAAATATTTAAGAATACATTACCATAGTTCTTATAAGTAAAACGGATCAAATGCTACACTTTAGATTTTATAGTTGATTCTATTGCCATATTCAATTTTATTATCGTTATAAACTGTAGACGTAATAGGTTATAAAAGCAACAATGGAACTGTTTGTTGACTTTTATTCGCAATTTATTATTACAATTTAATGATTAATTTATGATTAAATACATTTAATTTAATATCACGCGTATCACAACTTTCACCGCAGTCTTAAATATCACATATTATGGAGTTATATTTCGAGAAAATATCACAGTTTTTCTCACTATTAGTATAAGTCTCACTATGTTACTATTACATGAAGGCTCATTTTCTCTTTATTTTTTATGGTTAACTGTTACAGTACGCTCTCATTTCAGTCAAAGAACAAGACTTAGAACAGCATTCGTCTGCAATTCCTTGTCGTTTCGTCCTACTACTTCTTATCAATCTCCTTGCATTTTTGGGGGAAATGAAGATATCACTGTTGTAATCGAACGTTTCCATTGATCCAATCGGCTGATCCTGTAGAGTCGCATAATCTTAAAAAAAAATAAATAAAAATGACACAAATTTGAATTTATACTTATTTGATTGAAAAAAATATTTAATAAGCACCATGGCGGTAAAGTCTTTTTTTTTAGTATAAAATTTTAGACTTTATCGTCGTAATGGATAAATAATTATTCTTAATTTAAGCGTTTTCACTCACTATTATCGCAGATTTTAGCGACTAGATCTGCTAAAGCGTATCCGCATGCTCTTCTCATAGCGAATTCTGATGCCACACTTGCACCATTCGATGTCAAAAACAGATAACACAGCAACACTACCAGTGCCCGCATCTACAACACACCAACCAGTCTATTTTGTTTTCTTTTTTAATTAATGTTTAAAGAAATTTTCACTTTTAAATATGTTTAAATATGTTTAACGAGCGCGATTATTCATTGAAGATATATTCGAGTTTTGTCTTTTACTACAAAATTTGTTTTATCTCAAAAACAATTGCTATTACAACTTTTTAATAAGAATACTTTTTTGTGTAGAAAACATCCAGGAATCCAAAAATGTATCAACAATTGGTATAGAGTTAGTGGTGTTGATGTTAATGCGTGCAGAAAAAAGATATAATAAAATTTAATCATTTTTAGTGTGTTTAAACAAAATTATATTATCTCAAGAATGATTAGTATTAGAACATTTACTCAGAGTATCTTTTTGACGCAAAATATACCGAGGAATTCAAGAATATATTCAAAATTAGTTATAAGTTAATGATGGAGATGTTACTGGGTGTTAAATAAAGATATACTAAAATTTAAGCATTTTTGGTATTTTAGTAAAAAACTGTTTTTATCTCGAAAACGGTTAGTGATAAAACTTTTAGATAAGAACACCTTTTTACGCAGAATATATCAACGAATTCAAAAATGTATGCAAAGTAATAATACAATCAGTGGCGTAGATATTACTGGGTGTTAAATAAAGATGTAATGAAATTTCTTCATTTTTGGTATTTTAGTACATAAATTTTGTTATCTCGAGAACGGTAACTGTTAGAACTTTTAGATAAGAACACCTTTTTTACGCAGAATATATCAAGGAATTCAAAAATATATAGAAACTAATGATAAAATCATTGGCGTATATGTTACTAAGCGCTACATAAAGATATAATGAAATCTCATGATTTTTAGTGTTTTTGATAAAAAATTCTTTTTATCTAAAGAACGGTAACTGTTAGAGCTTTTAGATAAGAACACATTTTTTACGCAGAATGTACCAACTAATTCAAAAATGTATGCAAAGTAATAATACAACCAGTGGCGTAGATGTTATTGGGTGTTAAATAAAGATGTAATGAAATCTTATGATTTTTAGTGTTTTTGGTACAAAATTCTTTTTATCTCGAGAACGGTAACTGTTAGAGCTTTTATATAAAAGCACCTTTTTTACGCAGAATATATCAAGGAATTCAAAAATATATAAAAAGTAATGATAAAATCATTGGCGTATATGTTACTAAGCGCTACATAAAGATATAATGAAATCTTATGATTTTTAGTGTTTTTGATAAAAAATTCTTTTTATCTCAAGAACGGTAATTGTTAGAGCTTTTAGATAAGAACACATTTTTTACGCAGAATGTACCAACGAATTCAAAAATGTATGCAAAGTAATAATACAACCAGTGGCGTAGATGTTATTAGGTGTTAAATAAAGATATAATGAAATTTTATGATTTTTTGTATTTTTGGTACAAAATTCTTTTTATCTCGAGAACGGTAAGTGTTAGAGCTTTTATATAAAAGCACCTTTTTTACGCAGAATATATCAAGGAATTCAAAAATATACAGAAACTAATGATAAAATCATTCGTGTATATATTACTAAGTACTACATAAAGATATAATGAAATCTTATGATTTTTAGTGTTTTTGATAAAAAATTCTTTTTATCTCAAGAACGGTAATTGTTAGAGCTTTTAGATAAGAACACATTTTTTACGCAGAATGTACCAACGAATTCAAAAATGTATGCAAAGTAATAATACAACCAGTGGTGTAGATGTTATTAGGTGTTAAATAAAGATGTAATGAAATCTTACGATTTTTTGTATTTTTGGTACAAAATTCTTTTTATCTCGAGAACGGTAAGTGTTAGAGCTTTTATATAAAAGCACCTTTTTTACGTAGAATATATCAAGAAATTCAAAAATGTATCGAAAATAATGATAAAATCATTGACGTAGATACTACTGGGTGCTAAATTATGATGTAATAAAATTTTATAATTTTTTTGTATTTTTAGTACAAAATTCCTTTTATCTGGAGAACAATTAATGTTAGAGCTTTTAGATAAGAACATCTTTTTTACGCAGAATATATCAAGGAATTCAAAAATGTATACAAATTAATAATACAACCAGTGGCGTAGATATTATTGGGTGCTAAATAACTGAAATTAATGAAATTTTATCACTTTTGGTGTTTTAATGCAAAATTCTTTTTATCTCGAGAACGGTAACTGTTAGAGCTTTTATATAAAAGCACCTTTTTTGCGCAAAATATATCAAGGAATTCAAAAATGTATCGAAAATAATGATAAACTCATTGACGTAGATACTACTGGGTGTTAAATTATGATGTAATCAAATTTTATAATTTTTAGGTATTTTTAGTACAAAATTCCTTTTATCTGGAGAACAATTAATGTTAGAGCTTTTAGATAAGAACACCTTTTTTATGCAAAATATATCAAGGAATTCAAAAATGCATACAAAGTAATAATACAACCAGTGGCGTAGATGCTGCTGGGTGTTAAACAAAGGTGTAATGAAATCTTATGATTTTTCGTGTTTTTGGTACAAAATTCTTTTTATCTCAAGAACGGTAACTGTTAGAGCTTTTAGATAAGAACACTTTTTTACGCAGAATGTACCAACGAATTCAAAAATGTATGCAAAGTAATAATACAACCAGTGGCGTAGATGTTATTGGGTGTTAAATAAAGATGTAATGAAATCTTATGATTTTTAGTGTTTTTGTTACAAAATTCTTTTTATCTCAAGAACGGTAACTGTTAGAGCTTTTAGAAAAGAACACTTTTTTACGCAGAATATACCAACGAATTCAAAAATGTATGCAAAGTAATAATACAATCAGTGGCGTAGATGTTATTGAGTGTTAAATAAAGATGTAATGATATCTTACGATTTTTAGTGTTTTTGGTATAAAATTCTTTTTATCTCGAGATCGGTAAATGTTAGAGCTTTTAGATAAAAACACGCAAAATATATCAAAGAATTCAAAAATGTATCGAAAATAATGATAAAATCATTGGCGTAGATGTTACTAGGTGCTAAATGATGATATAATGAAATTTTATAATTTTTGGGTATTATTAGTACAAAATTCCTTTTATCTGGAGAACAATTGATGTTAGAGCTTTTAGATAAGAACACCCTTTTTATGCAGAATATATCAAGGAATTCAAAAATGCATGCAAAGTAATAATACAACCAGTGATGTAGATGTTACTGGGTGTTAAACAAAGATGTAATGAAATCTTATGATTTTTAGTGTTTTTGGTACAAAATTCTTTTTATCTCAAGAACGGTAAGTTTTAGAGCTTTTAGATAAGAACACCTTTTTTACGCAGAATATATCAAGGAATTCAAAAATGTATCGAAATTAATGATAAAATCATTGACGTAGATACTACTGGGTGCTAAATTATGATGTAATAAAATTTTATAATTTTTGGGTATTTTTAGTACAAAATTCTTTTTATCTCAAGAACGGTAACTGTTAGAGCTTTTAGAAAAGAACACTTTTTTACGCAGAATTTACCAACGAATTCAAAAATGTATGCAAAGTAATAATACAACCAGTGGTGTAGATGTTATTAGGTGTTAAATAAAGATGTAATGAAATCTTACGATTTTTAGTGTTTTTGGTACAAAATTCTTTTTATCTCGAGATCGGTAACTGTTAGAGCTTTTAGATAAAAACTCGCAAAATATATCATGGAATTCAAAAATGTATCGAAAATAATGATAAAATCATTGGCGTAGATGCTACTGGGTGCTAAATAATGATATAATTTTTGGGTATTTTTAGTATAAAATTCCTTTTACCTGGAGGACAATAAATTAATGTTAGAGCTTTTTTACGCAAAATATATCAAGGAATTCAAAAATGCATACAAAATAATAATACAACCAGTGGCGTAGATGTTGCTGGGTGTTAAACAAAGATGTAATGAAATCTTATAATTTTTAGTGTTTTTGGTACAAAATTCTTTTTATCTCAAGAATTGTAACTGTTACAACTTTTAGATAAGAGCACCTTTTTTACGCAAAATATATCAAGGAATTCAAAAATGTATCGAAAATAATGATAAGATCATTGGCGTAGATACTACTGGGTGCTAAATGATGATATAGTGAAATTTTATAATTTTTAGTACAAAACTCTTTTTATCTCGAAAACAGTTAATGTTAGAACTTTTAGATAAGAGTACCTTTCTTAAGTAGAATATATCAAGGAATTTAAAATTGTATAGAAAATAATAATACAGTAAACGGCGTAGATCTTATTAGGTGCACAATAAAGTTATTCAATAATTCTACAATTTTAAAAGTCCTTAACTCAAAATCTTCCATATCTTGAAAAAGGTTAATATTAGGGCTTTTAATCAAGAGCACCTTTTTGATGTAAAATACATTGAAGAATTCAAAAATATATTCAAAATTATTAGAAAGTTAGTGGGTGCTAAATAAAAATATTAAAGTTATCTAATGATTCAAATTTGCTAAATAGACGATCAAAGTTTAGAGAGAAATGAATAATAATGATAAGTTAGGCGCCAAATCGCGAAAATCAATTAAATCAGACGATTTATTACGTAATCGCGCGAGGATAATCAATTTGAAATAAATATAGTTTTTCTGTTCTTAAGTGAAATCTAAAATCAAAATATGTCCACGTGTATGCGGGTGATCAGTGCAAGTAGTCGAAGAATGCACGCCGGGCGTAAATAACACACATTAATGCGTAGGCCTCGATATCTGTTTATAACCACTCAAAGTGCTATTTATAGGATACAAAAGAAAAAAATCGTTCTTACGAGACAATAATAACTACGTGAGTGACAGGAATACAACAGTTATCGGTTTACGTCTAAACAAATTTTGTCAAAAAAAAAATTATGTTGCATTATTTGCATTTAATTATAATTGGTTAAAAAATAAAATAATTTTAACTAACCTTTATATTTACCATTTTGATGTTTTTAAAATGTATCAAAGGAAATCATCAACCAATTTCTCCGAATAATTCGAAATTGAAATCTTGGATGAACTTGGATGAAATTCGTTCGGAATCTTTTCGAAGCTTTCGAATTTCCCCCCTTAACACGTAGTTAACTCTTTAGTGATGTGGCACTAACTAAGATCTAAACCGGTGACGATATCTATATTTATAGTGATGTTTGTTGTGTAGAGGCTGTTGTTTTGTTCGCAGGATGTGAGAAATGACCCACCTTTGGCTTAAATACTACAACAATCACTTCGATCTTGCCCTTTCCGATTGTTTTCGATTGTAATTGTGATCGAGAGAGCACATGATGTTGCTTCAAGATTTATCTGTAGGAATTGTAATTTATTTTGATGAAAAATTGTAATAATAAATACCTTTGTTTGTTCAAAATATAAAGTAAATTGGGGATGATAATGTGGAAGAGAGTCGAAAGGTACTGGCCGGTATCGAGCTTGACACGACGTGTTTATAAATTAAAAAAAATTGTTTACTGGGGTGATTGTGACTTATAAATAAACCGATGATAATGAATAAAATCAAGAGGAATGTTATTTTTTTTAGTTTAATTAAGCAAATGAAATAAAACAAATAAATGATGCTTTTTTAAATATAATTATTGTAATCAATTTATTTATAAATTTTCTTATTTTCTCGTTTTATTAGAAAATTGTATAATCGTAACAAAACTTTTATTAGATCCTATTATCACAAGGTCGTCATTGTAACAAAAATAACTAGGAACGTGTGAAACATACATTGGAAATGGTACAAACAAACAAATAACAAACATTGATAACAATAGGAAAACATGAACAAGCAAATAAATATGTAAAGGTACAAAGAAATTGTATGTAGCGAAACTAAACATGTACATTACATAGTATTATACATGGAGCATTTATGACGACCAATTTGTTTACTCGTTTTAATACAAAACGGTATCATTTAAAACCAAATTCGTTTGAACACAAGTTACAATAATTAATAAAAATATATAATATTTAATTAAGATCACATCATTTTTTAATCTTATAATTCTTGTAATTGTTTTTCAATTTTCATCATCTCCTTTTAAGTAGATCAACATCATCAAGTTAATCTTGATCTTCATTCATTAATCTTCTTCTCCATCAAATTGTCATCAAATATCACAGGAAAATAATATCAAAAAAAAAATCTTTAACGTTTCAACCCAGTCTTTGCTTCTTGAATATTGACTAGTAGGTTTCCAGCCATTTAATTTCTCGAAAAAAAATTAAATCTCACCAAATTGCAATAAATTCCGTTCAACTTAAGCAATAATCGTGTAATTCCGCGTAAGTGCACGGTTTTATGCAACATTCATCATAAACTCCTCTTTTAACTCTTCGTTTTCCTTTTAAAACTTGAATGGCATGTTTCCTAGGTAAAAGAATATCGCCTAATTTTAACTGTGGTATTTCATCTTCGTTGGAATTATAATAATGGGGAACCATCATTTCAACTATTGGAATTGGTACAATACTTCTTTTATTAAGACCTAAAAAAACGAGATTTAATCAAATTATTTGGCACGTGTAGTTTATGAATTATCTTAGTCTTAGTTTAGAATTTATCGATACACTATGACCACCATAAAATTTAAAAATAGCACTAGTACCCCACTTAGATGATAAGATATAATTCAATTAACTTCGAGGAACTGTGGACCAGAATTACTCAACACTCAATTATAATCTTGAATTTTTTAACCCTACTTATCTTTCGAATTGAGAAGATTAAGTGACCGTAAAAAGTTTTGGAATAAACATCGATAACGAATTTTCGCCTTCTCGCAAAGTTTGCTCACGTTAAATGAATGCGTTTTAAAGTATTTAAATTTCTTTTTTTTTTTTACTTACTTTGAGAGTTGTATCTCGATTTGCAAACCATCGAAAGAAGTTGCGATAAATACGTTCCACATTGCTGAAAATGAGCTTGATTTGAATCCGCCGAAAGCGTTGAAGTTACCAATAAAAAAAAATAAATAGTCCAAGTTTTAGACATCTGTAACAATCAAATAAAATAAACTTAAGTATCATTTTAAACGATTTACACTTAATTTTAATTATTTTTACTAATTAATACCTCTTTAGTTTCTGTTAAATTGTTGTTGTTTACACAGTATAAAGTTGTTGTTTCTGTAGCAAACATTCGAATTGATTGTATATTTATCTTTGATGTTGAACGACGAGTCAGCAACTGATCATTTTCGAGCGCTTGGCTCGAACGACTCAACAATCAATCGTCGTCAATGTGCCACACAAGTCAAGAGCCCCCACCAAAAAACGACTTATAGAAATATTTATATAAAACGACTTGTAAAACGTTTCTCAAATTCTTGTTGTTTGGTTAACCACTACCTTGGACTGCATAGATTATATTCACGACAAGTTTTATTTTGCTCACTTTGTCATTTCAAAATAAGTTGGAGAGAAGAAGAAAAACGATTTTAATTTCTTATCTTTTCAAAATTTTCCATACGTTATGGATTCATTTGATAAACTTTAACTTATATTATGATTGTTATTAATTTTTTAAAGTATACCTGTGTTATTTTTCTTTTTAAGTTTAGGTTCACGTAAAAATCTTGTAGGTTGCATTAATACAACATCTTTGTCGTATCATAATACAGTGAATTTCACTTAAAATGCAATATACAAAAATATATTTCCATAGAAATTAAGGCGTACGTACTTACATTAACCCACATAAAATGCAACATGTCTAAATGTTTCTAGTTCTAGGTCTAGAGTTAGTTCTAGTTTTACACTAACACTATCACAAGAACTAACACAAGACCTAGAACTAGAATCAATCGGGTTTAGCCGTCTTGAGAGACGTGCGGCTAAATCCGAATGTTTCTAGTTCTCGGTCTAGTGTTAGTTCTAGTTTTGCACTAGCACTATCACTAAAACAAACACAAGACCTAAAACTAGAATCATTCGGGTTTAGCCGTCTTGAGAGACGTGCGGCTAAACCCGAATGATTCTAGTTCTCGGACTAGTGTTAGTTCTAGTGATAGTGACAGTGTAAAACTAGAACTAACACTAAACCTAGAACTAGAAACATTCGGGTTTAGCCGTCTTGAGAGACGCGCGGCTAAACCCGAATGATTCTAGTTCTAGGTCTTCTGTTAGTTGTAGTGATAGTGGCAGTGTAAAACTAGAACTAACACTAGACCTAGAACTAGAAACATTCGGGTTTAGCCATCTCAAGAGATGTGCGGCTAAATCCGAATGTTTCTAGTTATAACTCTAGTGTTAGTTCTAGTTTTGCACTAGCACTATCACTAAAACAAACACAAGATCTAGAACTAGAATCATTCGAGTTTAGCCATCTCAAGAGACGTGCAGCTAAATCCGACTGTTTCTAGTTCTCGGTCTAGTGTTAGTTCTAGTTTCTTTCCTTCCTCAAAAGTCTGCCCCCATGCAGATGCCGACCCTGAAGTAATGGACATAACCCGTCCATCAGGTAGGGTTCGCAGCACAGCTGGGAATATTTTCACACCCAACAGAGTAAGGTGGGCTATCTCGAATTTCAAGCCCCTAAAATCACCTGGAGGAGATGGAATTCTGCCTATCTTTCTGCAAAAAGGCTTAGAAGAACTTCTCCCAATAATAATATCCCTATATATAGCTAGCTACAGCTTTAGCTATATACCCACTCTATGGAGGAAAGTAAAGGTGGTCTTCATACCTAAAGGTGGTAGGCGTTCAAACGCGGACCCCAAGGCGTACAGACCAATTAGCCTAACTTCATTTCTCCTCAAAGGGATGGAAAAGGTAATCGATCAATACCTAAGGAATGGAGTGCTTCTCACAAATCCACTCCACCCTAGCCAACATGCTTACCAGAAAGCAAAATCAACAATTACCGCTCTCCATGCTTTGACTAGCACCTTAGAGGAGGCAATTGCAACCAAAGAGATAGCCCTTTGTGCTTTCATAGATATAGAGGGTGCGTTTGATAACACCTCATATGAATCCATAGAGAAGGCTTTAAACGTAAAAGACATACATCCGTCGACAATCAAGTGGTGTATAGCCATGTTGAAAAGTCGGCAGATCACAGCCAGTCTGGGAGGCGAGTCGCTGACTATAAAGGCGCTAAGAGGATGTCCCCAAGGGGGAGTGCTATCACCTCTATTATGGTGCCTGGTAGTTGATGACTTGATGAACATCCTAACTAAAAACGGATTTAAGATACAAGGGTATGCTGATGACCTGGTAATCACAATCCGAGGTAAATATGATTCAATCATAACTCAGCTAATGCAGAAAGCCCTACTACTCACCAGTACTTGGTGCAGAAGCAATGGGCTCAGCATCAATCCCAATAAAATCGAAATAGTCCCTTTCACTCGGAGAAGGAAGCTACAAATAAAAGCACCCTCCATTGAAAGCAGAACTATTAACCTCAAAACAGAAACTAAATACCTAGGGGTAATACTTGACAGTAAACTAAACTGGAACTCACACTTAGATAAGGTGAGGAAAAAGGCCATCATGGCAAACCAGATCTGCCGCAGGCTCCTAGGAAGGAACTGGGGTCTCAAACCACGAATGGCTCATTGGGCCTACGTAGCAATAATCAGACCCATGGTCGCCTACGCCTCATTGGTTTGGTGGCCAAAAACAAAACATAAGACAGCTCAACAACAGCTGGCACAAATCCAGCGGTTAGCATGTCTTAACATAACGGGTGCAATGAGATCCTGTCCGACGGCTGCTTTGGAAGCCCTACTCGGTCTCACACCGCTCCACATATATATACAAAAGGAGGCAGCCTTAAGTGCCTTATCACTGAAAACAGTTTCTTCACTCAAGTTGATGCAGGGTAATCTCAGAGGACACCTCGAGATCCTCAAAGACCCATGTCTAAATCACCTGATTGAAATTAAAACGGACCTTATACCGACGGAATACAATTTCAACCAACCGTATAAGGTCATCTAGCCGTCTTGAGAGACGTGCGGCTAAACCTGAATGTTTCTAGTTCTTGGTCTAGTGTTGGTTCTAGTTTTAGACTAACACTATCACTAGACCTAACACAAGACCTAGAACTAGAATCATTCAGGTTTAGCCATCTCACGAGACATGCGGCTAAATCCGAATGTTTCTAGTTCTCGGTCTAGTGTTAGTTCTAGTTTTGCACTAGCACTATCACTAAAACTAACACAAGACCTAAAACTAGAATCATTCGGGTTTAGCCGTCTTGAGAGAAATGCGGCTAAACCTGAATGATTCTAGTTCTAGGTCTTGTGTTAGTTTTAGTTTTAGACTAGTACTATCACTAGAACTAACACAAGACCTAGAACTAGAATCATTCGGGTTTTGCCATCTCAAGAGACGTGCGGCTAAACCCGAATGATTCTAGTTCTCGGTCTAGTGTTGCTTCTAATTTTGCACTAGCACTATCACTAAAACTAACACAAGACCTACAACTAGAATCATTCGGGTTTAGCCATCTCAAGAGACGTGCGGCTAAACCCAAATGATTCTAGTTCTAGGTCTTCTGTTAGTTCTAGTGATAGTGGCAGTGTAAAACTAGAACTAACACTAGGCCTAGAACTAGAAACATTTGGGTTTAGCCGTCTTGAGAGACGTGCGGCTAAACCCGAATGATTCTAGTTCTAGGTCTTCTGTTAGTTCTAGTGATAGTGGCGGTGTAAAACTTTATCGACGCTGGCTTGTTGATAGTTGTCAGAACGACTTTGACGTGTCGTGGTCGTAGATGGTGGATGGGATGTCCTGAGATGGATGCAGGCAGTGGGGGTCTAGTTGCTGAGTCTCTTGTTCGTAGATGGGATGTCTGCCGTCGAACGCAAGTGCTGGGGGTCCAGTAGCCGAGTTAATTTTGGGTAGTTACGGAGATTTTTGGGAGATGCTTGTTATGATTTGTTTAACTCCAGGTTCGATTCAGATTCTTCTATTCGAGGCGTTCGTAGAATGTGGTTTTATTGTGAACTTTTTTATTAACAAACTTATCACTACGATATTATAATATATTACATTTAATGAATGTGGCGGTTGCCACAAGAACTAACACTAGACCTAGAACTAGAAACATTCGGGTTTAGCCGTCTTGAGAGACGTGCGGCTAAACCCGAATGATTCTAGTTCTAGGTCTAGTGTTAGTTCTAGTGATAGTGGTAATGTAAATCTAAAACTCACACTAGACCTAGAACTAGAATCATTCGGGTTTAGCCGTCTTGAGAGACGTGCGGCTAAATCCGAATGTTTCTAGTTATAACTCTAGTGTTAGTTCTAGTTTTGCACTAGCACTATCACTAAAATAAACACAAGACCTAAAACTAGAATCATTCGGGTTTAGCCGTCTTGAGAGACGTGCGGCTAAATCCGAATGTTTCTAGTTCTAGGTCTTCTGTTTGTTCTAGTGATAGTGGCAGTGTAAAACTAGAACTAACACTAGACCTATAACTAGAAACATTCGGGTTTAGCCGTCTTGAGAGACGTGCGGCTAAACCCGAATGATTCTAGTTCTATTTCTTGTGTTAGTTCTAGTGATAGTGGTAGTGTAAAACTAAAACTCACACTAGACCTAGAACTAGAATCATTCGGGTTTAGCCGTCTTGAGAGACGTGCGGCTAAACCTGAATGTTTCTAGTTCTTGGTCTAGTGTTGGTTCTAGTTTTAGACTAACACTATCACTAGACCTAACACAAGACCTAGAACTAGAATCATTCTAGTTCTAGGTCTTGTGTTAGTTCTAGTGATAGTGGTAGTGTAAAACTAAAACTCACACTAGACCTAGAACTAGAATCATTCGGGTTTAGCCGTCTTAAGAGACGTGCGGCTAAACCTGAATGTTTCTAGTTCTTGGTCTAGTGTTGATTTTAGTTTTAGACTACCACTATCACTAGAACTAACACAAGACCTAGAACTAGAAACATTCGGGTTTAGCCATCTCAAGAGACGTGCGGCTAAATCCGAATGTTTCTAGTTATAACTCTAGTGTTAGTTCTAGTTTTGCACTAGCACTATCACTAAAGCTAACACAAGACCTAAAACTAGAATCATTTGGGTTTAGCCGTCTTGAGAGACGTGCGGCTAAACCCGAATGTTTCTAGTTATAACTCTAGTGTTAGTTCTAGTTTTATTTGTCATTCAGCGTTAGGTTGTGGTATATTTTTATTGAACGAAAAGTAGAACCAACACTACACCTAGAACCAGAAACATTCGGGTTTAGCCGTGCATCTCTTAAGACAGCCGAAAACTTAGGTTTAGCATATGATGTTGCATTTTATGTGGCATTTTATGGTGACTGCATTCATATATTGCGAGTTATATGAAATTCCCGGTATATAAAATGCAATGTGTACAGAATGAGATAGCAAAAATAGGAAATCTGTGAAATGCAGAAACTGAGATACCTCTATATTTTACGAAAAAAGCCAAAAACAGAAATAAGCAGAACTCAATGAGAGAATGTCATCAAGATGGTAAATGGAGATATTTAAGAGTCGATGCCATACCAGCAGTAGACGACTTCATCTTTTATGCGAGAGAAACTCTATGAGTAAGTATAACAGAAGAGGTACCCTCATTCCTCACAATCTTCTAACAAGCCATCATTCTCCAGGAGCTACTTTGATAATGTTGTCAACAGTTTCTCTTAGATCCTTGTAGAGATTGTTATTTCGAACGTACCTTTATTTTCTTCCCCAGTATGTCCTTATCGCAGCGTTATGTATGGCCTCGAATCCATCTTCTGAAGTTTTCCCTCTCCCCAGCAAGACTCTTGAACTGCTACATAGTCTTCTATAATACATAAGTAGTTTCCTCTCCTCAATACTACATATTGCTGCATATCATGTTATGTTACTGCCATAAGTAAATATAAGCTCAATGACCGCTTTATAAATCCTTGTCTTGGCCTTCCGGTTTACTTCATCCTTTCCAAACACACACCGACTCAGGGCATAGTAAGTCTTGGTAGCTTTGTTCACTCTGTTTTTTGCCCTCTTCAGTAAACTTCCCTGTCTGGTCGTGCCCAGATATTGTTAGATGCTCATTTTAGTGAGAAGTTAACCATCATATTCGATATGGATATTATCCACCTGTTCCTGAGTCCTCGTCAGCACCATAACTTAACTTCGAATTTACCATAGGGTAATAATTCAATTGTTTTTGATTGGTAAAATCCTAGAGTTGAATGCCATAAGTCCACACTGATTTCATAAAATTGTTATACACTGTCAGAACTGAATGTCTGCTCAATAATCAATATATTTGGTTGTACTTAAGTCTTGGGATTATAATCACTTCAGTTATCTTCCATGGCTGCGGCACATAATGAATCAAATAACTCATTCTATCTAGTACATTAATCACCCATCAAGCTGTAATCGGTGAATACGAAGAGGGAAATTTGATCCATATCCAGAAAAAAACAGTTTAGGTCAAAAAAAATGTAATGAATGACTTGGCAATTACCTCCTCATCAAGTATTGTATATGATGGTTCAACAAAGATGATTCCAACAATAGAATATATTAACTTGGTCCCAATTTAAATTTTGGAAATATAGAGTCTCTACAATTGCGTTTGTCGATGATCTGATGCAGTGATCATCATTAAAGCGTGGTCATCATCCACCTCAGCAAACAACTTGAAGTGTTTGACAAGAAAGTAAAAAACACCTATACAAATGATTTATATTAATAATCTTGGAGAACCAAATAAATGGGAAGCAAAAATTTTCACATTGAGGAAGGATCATGTTAAATAAAAACTCACCTGGATCATCAAGTATAAACCTAAGCTGGGGTATAATAAATTAACAAGATCCACTCATTAACAATGTCCAGTTTGAACCAATCTGATTTCTTCTATAAAACATAATTAGTAACTGGGACATTAAGATCATTAATAATAATTAGGTTAGTGATGATTAAATATTTCCTGAAACTAATAGATTTCAAAGAAATTGATACAAATCACTTTTAAATGGAAATATAATAACTTTTTGAAAATTCATTGCAACAATCGACCTATTATGCGTGTAATAGTTTATTAATCTTGTTGACTGCGATTGGTAGACTATGAACCATTAGATATCCAAAAGTATATCGAACGTGTTTACCATCTTTTCAAACAGCTGCAATGAACTCTAAGAAAACTATATTAATATATATATAAATAAATTTCTTTGCAAATTTGTGTCATAAATAAAACAGTAATTCAGCAATATGATAATGCAAAATTGGAGCAAAAAAACAAATTGCCTGCGTTTATTTAATTATTTTTTTTTGTTGTTGAACAAAACAGAAAAACATCTTGAAAAACAAACATCGTTAGAAGAAAACCGTAATAATTGATTAACAGTTTAATAAACATCGAAACGATTAGAGAACTTGAGGCGAACAAAAAAAAAGTGTATTAATAAAATGGTTCTTATCGTCGACATTATTCGAAACGTTTAAGTTATACGAGGCCGTGATAAAATTGGGTTCGGGTAAACAATTACTTATCTGCATTCATGCCCAATTATATTTTTCGTCCGTTCAAAGAACCTTCGACAACAGCAAATTATAAATAACGAAAGATATCGGAGTTTGTATTGATTCATAAAAAGTGCTTATTTATTTAATAAAATACGTCTTTTTTGGTTAAATAAACTGTTCGATTGTGGTGGATACTATTTTAGAATATTATTGTACGATATTATTTTTCGATATTATTTTTAGACCATCAACAGTGTAGCAGCACTAAATATAGATTATAGTTCAAGTTGTAGTTCACACGCCTACAGTCTCGTCGTAGTCTACCACGAGATGTTGACGGTATATCTCTTTGGACAATGCAACGACCCTGTGTACTCAATATCCCACTTTGCCGGCGATCGTGTTTTCATTTTACAATTGTTATTGTTATTGTTGTGTATCGGATCCTTAACGACTTTTATAACAGATGGGCACAAAACAATATTTACAACTGAGAATTGCGCATTAATTTTCTAACAATTATAAACTAATTACGTTAAAAAAAAATTATAATTAAAAATTAATTTTTGCTTACCTCCGATATTGTCTAAAAATGTTGTAAAACAAAAATCCGAACGAAGTTGAAATTGTTTGATTTATTGTGGTGGATCGGAACGAACTGTGACCAAACGTCCGGTACAAAATATGAGCTGTACGCTGGTCAAAGGGCACAGTCCGAACTGAAAGCCGGCCAGTGCACTTGAGCCGTCCAGACTGTAATATAATTGTTTTGGAAACTGCCGGGGCTCCATCAAACTATCCCTGTATATTATAGCCCACCTCCCGACCGCGACCACCTACTCGAACCACACGAGCTTATTCTCTAACAACTCAAAGACCAAATGTGCAATTGAGTGAAATAGACAATTGGCCAGACCGTAGACGCCTAACGTTATTAGAGACAATAGGGAGAATTCCCTGTATTGACCTATTAATTCATTTTAACTAAAGACTCAGTATCAAGAAACTTGGACAATTTTTTATAACATCTCATTCAAATCATTGTTATAAATTTAATTCTAAAACAATTTTAATAATTTAAACTTGATTATAACAAATCAAGCAATTTTAACAAACTAAGAATATTCTTAAATAGCCCAAATTTTTATAGGCCCCAATTAAATTTATCTCATTCGAAAACTTAAATCAATATGAAAGTGGCGAATTTTAAAATCGCCGATCATTCAAGATGTTGATGTCTAAAATTGATCAAATTGATCAATAACCCAAATCGGTTTATGGAATCCTTTAATTTTTGTCTCCATTCCCACCCTATCTGACACTGCTCTTCCTCAATCTCAAAGGATTAGAAGATCTCATATCGTTTCAAAAGTACTGGTACATGCTCTGGTTCTGAAATGATTCCAAGATTTTACACAATACCAAATATGCTCAAAAATGTACCGGATCAAATCATCAGTATATTAAGCTCCTTCTTTAATATTATCTTAAATCTTTGATGTTTCCCTGATGAACTTAGTAAGAGGCTTAAAAATGAAAAAAAAATCTCAAATCTCTAAAATCTCTTCTTTGTAATCCAAAAATTCTTTTACTCATCGGGGCCCCACGCAAGTATACCGTTGCTAATATGACTTTGGAAAAGCACAAAATAAGCTGTACGCAATACTTCAGTAGAAGAAAACTCCGAGAGACGCCTCAACAGAAAGACAGTGGAATTCAAGCGAGAAGCTAAAACTTCCCCATGAGAATTCCATGTAAGTCCGGGGTCCACATGGACACCAAGAAATCTGATTCCCTTCTCCGAATTTAAAGACTCACTACTCTGTCCATGTGTAAAAGTCATTGATACTGTCTTGCCACTATTCAAAGTCAGGTGATTACTAGCAAACCAATGCTTTGCCGATATAAACATTAAATTTTGTAAGGTTGTGGCTTCTGTTCCTGAAATCAGTTAACAAGCTAGTATCGTCAGCATTTAAAATAGATTGTCTAAGCCCCAAAAAGGAAGGTAAGTCATTTATATAAATTAAAAATAGAATAGGATCCAAAATTGAACCCCACTCGTGATACTTCCAGGATTAGAAAACCACTGATCACATATTCAACAAAATAGCCAAGCTTGTCGAAGACCCTTTTCTAAAACCAAATTGTTGTTTGTTAAAAATATTATGAATTTCAAAAAAATTAACCAATTGATTTTTCAGTAACGTTTCAAAGACTTTTGATAATACGGGTAGTATAATAATACACTGTTGGAAATAATTCACGAGCACACCTGTATAACCTGAACGCGTGTGTCTAGCGCAATAAAATTTGGTATGGAAGTAGTACTAAAGTAGTGTAACTTACTCTCACATGGAGAGCGGCACAACTCTGCTGGGAGGAGAAACATCAATAGCGAGAGTATCCCCCGTGAGCTTCGCATACCATCGCTACACGACGTGGCATGGAGTCTATAAGTCGCTGTATTGTAGCGAGAGAGATGGCCAACCATGCCACCTGAACTCGCCTCCATAGCTCCTCAACGTTAGCCGGAGGAAGCAGGATAACGTAGAAGTCTACGACCAGTCATGTCCCAAACATGTTCGATCGGATTCAGATGCGGAAACCGAGCTAGCCATGGAAGCATTTGTATACGGTGCTCTTCCACAAAGGTCTGTACAACACGCCCGATGTNATCCAAAAATTCTTTTACTCATCGGGGCCCCACGCAAGTATACCGTTGCTAATATGACTTTGGAAAAGCACAAAATAAGCTGTACGCAATACTTCAGCAGAAGAAAACATCAAGACGTCTGAAAAACAGTGGAATTCAAACGAGAAGCTAAAACTTCCCCATAGGAGTTCCATGTAAGTCCAGGGTCCACATGGACACCAAGAAATCTGATTCCCTTCTCCGAATTTAAAGACTCACCACTCTGTGCATGTGTAAAAGTCATTGATACTGTCTTGCCACTATTTAAAGTCAGGCGATTACAAGCAAACCAATGCTTTGCCGATATAAACATTAAATTTTGTAAGGTTGTGGCTTCTGTTCCTGAAATCAGTTAATAAGCTAGTATCGTCAGCATTTAAAATAGATTGTCTAAGCCCCAAAAAGGAAGGTAAGTCATTTATATAAATTAAAAATAGAATAGGATCAAATGTGCAATTGAGTGAAATAGACAATTGGCCAGACCGTAGACGCCTAACGTTATTAGAGACAATAGGGAGAATTCCCTGTATTGACCTATTAATTCATTTTAACTAAAGACTCAGTATCAAGAAACTTGGACAATTTTTTATAACATTCAAATCATTGTTATACATTTAATTCTAAAACAATTTTAATAATTTAAACTGGATTGTAACAAAGCAATCAATTTTAACAAACTAAGAATATTCTTATATAGCCCACAATTTTTATAAACCCCAATTAAATTTATCTCATTCGAAAACTGAAATCAATATGAAAATGGCGAATTTTGATGTCTAAAATTGATCAAATTGATCAACAACCCAAATCGGTTTATGGAATCCTTTAATTTGTGTCTCCATTCCCACCCTATCTGACGCTGTTCCTCGTCAACCCCAAAGGATCAAAAGATCTCATAGCTCATAGCGTTTTCCCAGCGTTTCTGTGACTTTTTCAAAAGCTCTGGTGCATGAGTGCAGGAAGTTAGCCCAAAATTTTTCTATTTTAAAATTTTTCATTGTTGTTCTAGATTGTTCTAGAGTTGTTCTACATTGTTCCAAAACGGCAAATAGAAAAAATAAAACTTCGGCGAGAAAAACTGAAAAAACGGTTTTTTGACTGGCACCATTTTTGAAAAAATTAGATTTTCTTTGTTGTTCTGGGTTGTTCCAGTTATTGTTCTAGAAAATCAAAATTATGGGATACATCTTTACGAAGTTATAACTAAAAATAAGTTTGGCTGCCAAAATGTCTAGTTGATTGCTGTGACCATAGTTTTTTTCAATTCCATATTACAAATATATACTTATTATATCTATTATCTAACGCAATCTGGAACAGCTATTATTTTTACTAGAATAACTCTATAAAAGACACTTTACTCTTTGAAAATTAAAGTTTCTGGAAGTTTCAGTCAGTAATTCTTGCGTCAGCACACATATAACGATCTAAAATAACTCAAACTTTGCTGATTCAAATTGTTCTAGGTGTGTTTTACGTTTAAATTAGGAAAAAAGGGTTTTTCTGGATACACGGACATTAATTTTGCAAAATCATATCTTCCTAAAAATACAGCAAAATGCAGATCTAAAAAGAAAAATAATAAATCAACAAATGAATAATCCAATTATTCGATCAGCAAACAAAAATACACTATTTGTATTATACATTATATATTAAAAACTAAATATCTCTGTGTCCCACCCACACAGAAATATATTTATATACAGGGTGTATCTGAATGACGTGCCCAAACTTCAGGGGGCGATTCTTTAGGCAATTTTAAGGGTACTTTTTCATATAAATTTTTACCCTCTGCATAAAAAAATTTTAGCAAAAATGTAAAGGGGGTGGTTACGTTTAGTAGTTTAGAAGGATAGGTTGAAAGTACAAATAGGGTGAAAACGTGCCCTACTACCAGTTAAACATATTCCCCAAATTTCGTTGTCCTAGCGTTTATGGTTTTTGAGAAAAAAAAATTAAACCAAAATTTTCCGCCATTTTTGGAGGGGTGTAGCTCCTTAGGGGNCGATCGCCCATCCATTGCGCACAGAGTACGATAACAATGTGGTTCCTCACACCACACTAAAAACGACCGGTATTTTCCATCCACTTCGGTCTCCATAGCGACGGAAGGTTCCACTTGGAAGGGCGGCTCCGTCAACAATGCCGCGACGGAACAACTCGAAACTCGCTGAATAAACTCGTCTACAGTAAACCTTTGTGCTCCGCAAATATTATGGATTTATCTTCACGCGTTCAGATTATATAGGGTGTGCTCGTGAATTATGTCCAACAGCGTAATTAATAAACAGCAGCAAAACATATACCATCTCAAAGTCATCTGGAAAACAGCCAGTAGTTAAACATTGGTTAAACAGAGTAGTAAGTACAGGAATCAAAAGGTTTGTAACTTTTTTAATCATAATCGCATTAAGTCCAAAGATGTCAGCAGACTTGCTTTGCTTGAGGCCTTTAACAGCATTCCGCACCTCAACCTGTGAGAAAGGATGAAATGCGAAATATTCGCATTTAGAGTAATCCACATGTTCTATTAACAATGATAAAGGGTCCTCACCACCACTTATGTTTTTTGCCAATTCACCGGGGACATTTAAAAAGAAATTATTTAGCATCTAAACAGCTAACTCTTTTGGCAGAGTTATTAGAAGTATTGTATTTTTTTACCTTGGCGAATTGCTACCTTATATGCAGAACGACATTTGTGATCTTTATCTTTGTATCATTATGTCGCATAAGTTGAGAATTGAACCAAATAATATTTAATGAATCTTATTTATTTAACGCAACAGTCTTAGACGGAAAGGCAGTCAGAGCCGCATCTTTCAAAATATTTATTAATTAAAGTGTTCATCTTAATGTTTGGATGTACATTCATATCATTAAAGAAACCAAGGTCAGTCCTACAAACGATATCAAAAAATATCTCCAACTCATCTACCGTGGTTGGATAAAAAGTTTTGTGTTAAAATTAACAGTAAAATTAACAAACGAGGTTCAAAAAATTGTGACCTCAAGCCAAACCCACTACTGATCTATTAATCTCTTTCTTATGATCAACAAACCTTTTGAGGAACACA